GTTGCATGCTGTCCTGGCTGCCATCTGGTGGTCCGGTACATTCCCCCTGACCTGTTGAGGGGTGTGGTCATTCCTCTCTGGATTGCAGCAATCACCGAGGCATCACACTGCTCACTATACCAAACAAGGTTCTTGCCCACATCCTTCTGAGATGTATCAGAGACCATCTACTGAGGCATCCGAGGCAGGAGCAATCTGGATTCACTCCTGTTTAGTCCACAATAGCCCGTATCTTTGTGCTTCGAGTCATTGTAGAGCGCCGTCGCGAGTTCGGTCATGGGTTGCTTGCAGCCTACATCGACCTCAAGAAGGCGTTCCATATGGTGCATCGGGAATGACTCTGGGAGATCCTGAGACTGAGAGGAATTCCAACAAGGATTATGGAATAATTGCAAATCTGTATACTTGTACTGAAAGTGCTGTAAAGTGTGGTGGGGGCCTGTTGAGCTTCTTTCCTGTTCAGGAGTGAGGCAAGGCTGTGTCCTTGCTCCAACACTTTTCAACACTTGCATGGACTGGATACTGGGCAGAGCTACTGTTCAAAGTCATTCAGGAGCAACAATATCAAGATTACCGACCTTTACTTTGCTGATGATGTTGCTATTCTATCTGAGTCCTTGGTATCCTTAGTGGTGGCTCTCGATGCATTTAGCAATGAAGCGAAGCCCTTGGGTCTAGAGGTCTCCTGGACCAAGACCAAGGTTCAGGACTTTGGGGACTTGCTATAACCTGTTCAGCCGGTATGTGCTTGCAGCGAGGACATTGAAGTCACAGAGAGCTTTACATACCTTGGTAGTGTAGTTTATAACTCTGGGCTGTCAGACCATGAAGTCAGCAGACGGATTGGCCTGGCAGCAGGGGTCATGAACTCTCTCGACAAGAGTATTTGGAGATGCCGGTACCTGTGCAGAAGGACCAAGCTACGGGTTTTCAAGGCCCTGATAATACCAGTTTTGCTATACAGTAGTGAAACCTGGACATTATCCTGTACTTTGGAGTCAAGTCTTGATGCCTTTTGCAATCGGTCCTTGCACTGGATCATGGGGTACTGTTGGCGGGACCACATGTCAAACCAACAGTTGCACTGTGAGCCTGGCACAGGACCTATTTCCTGCACAATCCATGATCGCCAACTCAGGCTATAAGGACACCTTCCCCCAGGCTGATCCTGCCCACCAGGTTGTCTCTGCTCAAGATAACCCTGGGTGGAGGAGGCCTGTGGGACGACCTAGGAAGTCGTGGCTTGGGCAGATCGATCAAACTTGTGAGGAGTCCCTGCCTGGCGGCTTGCCGTGAGGGACCCTCGTAGGTACAAAAGAAGGGTGGATGCGAATATGCGCCCCCGTCGGCGTTAGCCCCATGATGATGATGATGATTACTTAAAAGAACGAAACAAAATACAGAAAACGTGATCAACAAAACATAAAATGGAGTTAGAAACGGGTATCTTCACTAGAAACGAGCAGAGGTCAAAACAATAAAAATAGTGTTTCACGGATCGTCTCTCAGAGGGGAAGTTTGAAGAATATCAACAATCCCATCTCGCCTCAGCTCCTCTCTCTCTCTCTTTCTTAATTTGTCGTGAACTTCTCTCTCTCTTTGCCTCTCTCTGCTTCCCTCTCACTCTCTTTTTTAATTTGTCGTCTCTCTCCCTGTATATAGATATACATCTATATATATGTGTGTGTGTGTGTCTGTGTATGTATGTATATGTAAGATACTTATACATACCTATATACATAATGTATGCATATATAAACACAAGCACAAACACAGTAACGTGTGCGCACAAATGGAACGCATCCACAATTTCCTTTCCATATGTCTATACATACATACATACATACATACATATATATATATATATATATTATATATATATATATATACATGTATATGTATATATATATATATATATATATATATATATATATATATATATATATATATATATATATATGTATATATATATAATATATATATATATATATATATATATATATATATATATATATATATATATATATATATATATATATATATATATATATATATATATATATATATATATATATATATATATATGTGTGTGTGTGTGTGTGTGTGTGTGTGTGTGTGTGTGTGTGTGTGTGTATAATGTATGCATACGTTACATATATACACATATGTGCATATATACATATATATATACACGAAGAAAATCGATCTCTCCATCCAGGTACTTGGGGTCACAGATGCGGAGGGCGGAGATCGATTTCCTTCGTCGTTTGTTCTCCAAACTGGGCTATCCTCGCCATGTTCTCGACGTCGCGTTATCCAGGGCGCGGCGTATCTTCTACAGTGACTCCCCTCCTAACGAGACCCCTCACCTGCCAGTCCTCAGCCTGCCTTA